CATGGGACCCATTGGTCCACTCCATCTGGTACCTCCTCCACAAAAGCTCAAAATGTTCAATATTTATAAATCCAATATCAGGCTAATGGAATGTCCGATTTGAACCAAATTTTGCACCACCTATTATCTTTACCAAGCCTATATCAAGTCAGAAGGTGGGACCCATTGGTCCACTCCTTCTGGTACCACCCCCACAAGTGACGAAATTTTTAATATTTATGATTCTAATATCAGGCGAATGAAATGCCCGATTTGGATCCAAGCCTAGATCAAGTACGAATGTGGGACCGCCTGCCCTCTTTTCTGATACCTACTCCAAAAAGTGTCAGTATTATATGAAATTGTAAATTGTATTTGAAGCTAATTGAATGGCCGATTTGAACAACATTAAATTCGAAACCTCTGATATATGTCCTTATATAAAAGGACTTACATGCATGAAACATTTTTGCCAGCAGCTTTATGATAAAATTGAATTATATTACAAAATAGTATTTATCATGTTTTAAATTAAATTTAAAGATTTTGAAGTAAAAAACTCCGGCGTTAGAGAAAAACAACTTTTTGGCTGTGGTTCATTGCAATTCCTTATATGCTTAGTATATATATATATATATATATATATATTTTCCCCCTTCATATGCCTATATCATTTTTAAGGGAAATTCATATAATACTTACTTTGTAGGTCTTTTTCAAACACGCAATACAAATTTTATATTTTTTTGATTTTTTTATTATTTTTTAAATTAGATTTATCCTTATTATTTATATTCTTTAAATAATATTTAAAACATTTGGTGTTAGTTGGATGTTTTTATTATTAATGCATTTGTTTGCAGTTATTATAATTAATATTTTTATTTTTTATGGGAAATGTATTTCACTTTTTTTATTAACATTTTTTGGACATTAAAATACATTTCACCGTGATAGTTATTATAGAGATAAATCAAATAAAATTTGATTTTATTTTCATTAAATTATATTATGCCTTTGTTAGTTTTTTAATTATTATAATTATTTCATTTTGTTCTCCCTATTTCGTCCTTAGCATTTTGTTATTCCCTTTTTTGTTGTTTGTTTATAATTATTTTTTTACTTAGTGATCAATTAAAGCTACAAATGTTCCATGTTGTTGTTGTTTGCTTTCATGCTATTTGTTTTTGTTGTAATCCTTTGCCAAAAAATATAGAGAATTGCTTTTTGTTGTTTTTTCTTTTGCTAATTACTATCGATTTTATAAAAAAAATATGTTTTTCTTTGTTAATAGAAAAGCTAATGTATGTATATGCATGTAAATTTATAAAGTTATACAATTTTGTTATACAATAAATATATATAGTTACCAATAAGTGTAGCAAAATATTTCAAAAATATATATTCTCAATTTATAGTGTAAAAAAACTAAAGCAACTTAAATAAAAAAAAACATTCATATAAGGCTTTCTTTTTTTTTGTTATTACATTTTTAGTTGTGTGCCTGTGTTAAACTGTTTATCAATTTTGTTTTGTTAATTAGCATCCTATTATATAAAAAATCTATAATTGTTTTTAAAAGGCCATATTTTTTGTTGTTGTTTAGAAAAATTATAATATTCCATATTTTTTATTTATATAAAAAGCATAAAATATATTTTTTTGTATGTTTTTTCTTTTAATTTTTTATATCTATAAATAGTATTTATATTAATTGTTATTTTTAATTATTAATATTATATTTATAAATATCACAACGCCTGACTTGTTTTCTTTATTCTTAACATTATTTTAATTTTATTAAATTGCATAGAAATATTAAAATGAGAGTTTTTAAGGGACAAATTGACAATTTTATTCTTGAAATTCGAATTTTTGTTAGGTTATTGCATTATTTAATGGTAATTTTTACTCACCCATTTCTTTAATAAAATTATTAATTTCCTCCTTTCAATGAAAATTATATGAAATACTCTGTGAAAATAGTACTGATTTATTAAACCCATTTCCACCTCGATGGTGGTTAATAAGTCTAAAATTGTTAATATGCCGTCCTCAAACTTTGATTTTTTGGTACGGATTATGGTCCGGCAGGGTCGAGGGTCTTTGCTATGTCGAGATGAGGTTGGTATGAACTCGGTTACTGTAGATAGATTGCACTATAGAGAGACGATTAATGATTTTTATAGTGGAAGTTAGATGGTATTGATAAACCCTATATTCACCGAAAAGCAACGAAATCACCAATATGTTTTTATTTCTGTATCGTGAAGGATGAAGACATCAGCGTCATTTCCAAATCTGGAACATAGAACATATCAAAGACTAGGGTTCTTTTCTTCAAAGGGAAAAGTTTCCGGGCTATGTTATTTCTCGAATAGGTAGTCATAAATGACCAGCAATATGCTTTAACACATTGCAACGTCTTTCTGTGAGCCACGTGAAAGACAAGGTAAACGCCAACAGTTCAGCGTCGATTTGATCTAACAAAATTGACGAGGCTTAAATAATCCATAAGCCAAAGAAATGGTAACAATTGACTTCCGAGATATTCTGATTTCCGACTTCTTCCTGGGGTTATGCGAACAAGAATGAAAATGTCCAATGGACCTGGTGGCCATTTGACTAGAAAATTCCTTTCCGTTATTAACGGAATATTTCCTCTTCATTACGAAATTACACATTTTTAATATCAAAATCTCTTATTGGAAACCCGCGCCTATATGGACTATTTCAACAGAACCATTTTTTTATTAATTTCAAGTCCACTGGTAAATTTTTCGACATTTGATTCCAATAATCTCAGATTATTTGACATATTCACCAGACATGTTAATTGTTTTTTGTTTATGCCAGGATTCTAATCAATGTTGTTACAAAGTGATTATCTTATTAGAATTGAGGTTCCAGAGGATTTTGGGCCTCGTACACAAGTCGGTCCTAGATGCATGAAACAAATGATTATCCTTTTAGAATTGAGGTTCCAGAGGAATTTTGAGCCTCGTACAAGTCGGTCCTAGATACTTTTTACAACAGAAGTGGCTGTTTGACAAATACACCATATAACGGGCTCGTTAGATTTCGTAGTATTTTGAAAGTTCGAGCTGAATTTTCTAACCGAAGTGGTGAGGGTACATAAACCTCTATGAAAATGTTTGTATATGTTAATAGTTGAATATAGTCCCTATAGTACGGCCACGCCCCATTTTAGGTATATAAAAGTGTTAGTCGAATTCCCATAACAAAGTAATTAGGTTTTCAATACCTTCTGCACATGACACACTCTTCAGATCTGGCTCCCAGCGTATATTTTATATTTTAAACCACAAAAATCACTGGGAAGAATTTTTCGTCATTAAGATCCGATATAGGGACGCTATACCGTATTATAGGACACTACTGAGTCAAAGCTAATGGTTGCCGTTGCAGCAATGGATGTGTTCAAAGTGGACGATGTTGCAACCAGTGAGGATGACAATGTGGCTATATTGGGTAGGGGTGGGATTATGGGATTATATTTTCTTGTGCGAGGGAGGACGATCTAGCGAGGAATTGGAATCGAATGTAGAATCTAATGGTTCAGGTTTAATTTATGTCAATAATTTATCATTTCCATACTGGCCTCAATTTTTTACTAAACTGGAATTATTCTCCTATGGAAGAATAAAACAAATTGTAAAAAAATCGTATCATAGTAGATCAATCGTTCTGAACGTTAAATAACTAGCTAAAATGAAATAATTATATGTTTACTGTGGTATATATAAAATCCCAAACACCTTAGATAAATCTAATAACAATAGATTTATCAAAAAAGTTTGATACTTTTTAAAAAGTCCCCTAAATATTTATTCTCATTTTAAAATTTAAAATAGTATTCGTTTAGATTTTTTTATTATGTTTTTTTTATTTTTTAGTTTTGTTTCGTTTTTTTAATTGTTTCTTTTTCATTCATTCTTGTTTAAAAAAAATAATAATAAATATAATGGTGTGGTTTTTCGTTTTGTTTTTTTAAATAATTGCACATAGAAATTAAAAAAAAATTAAGAGAATTCAAATACAAAAAAATCAATTAATTAAAAAGAAACAATAATAATAATTATAACAGCAAATGTCAATAATAATAAAAAAGTATATTTTTTCATAAAAAATAAGCAATTAAATATAAATCGATTCGTTTGTTTTTTCCACTTTAAACTTATACAAATTAAAAAAAATTTAATAAAATAGTTTGGTTGATATTTTTCTTGCTTCTGTTTTGTGTCGTACGTAAAGTATATTGTGGATATATGGTTGTGTGTGTGTGTTTGGGAATAGATGTAGATGTTGTTGTTGCAATAAAAAAATCGTTTCTTTTTTATATTATAAAAAATATAATTATGTGTTCGTTTCATTATTAAACATGGTTTTTTCATATGTTGGTTTTTGTTGTATATATAAAAATAATTAAAAATAATAATACATTATTTTGAAATTGAATTAAAAAAAGAGGCAAAAATTATAAAAAACATATTATTTAAAAAAAGAAAACATATAACAAATAGATATATCCATTATCATCATCATAATAATGCCAATTTGAAAAAAATAACATGCATTTGGTTAATTTCTTAGAAATTTCTTGGACGTTCAAAAAAGGAAAGAGCAATTGATTTTTGTCCCTCCTCTTCTTCTTCCTTTTGGACTTGCCTATATTTAACTTGGTTCGGTTTAAAGCAATTTAATGGATTTTTGTTTTTATTATTTTAATTATTATTGTTTTAAACACTAAATAATGGATAGTTTTGTTTTTTGTTTTTCTTTTGTGGTTTGCCCTCTCTGTTTTCTTTTTTGGAGGGGTAAGGGGTTTACAAACAAATACAAGGACACAAAATTGGAAATAACTTAGGCTTTCTAGTAATTCAGGGTTCATTACATTTTTTGTTTTAGTTTAGTTTTCAATTTCTTAAGACTTAACAATAAGTGTTTTTGTTTTTTTAGTTTAAACATATAAAAAGTTATTTTTGTTTTTTAAATTAATTAATTATATATAATATACTTTTAAAAAGTAATTGGGTTTTGCTTCTTCAATCAATTGTTGTTGTAAGAAATTTAAAGTTCCATTTGCTTATAATATATAAGGGGGGGCTTTGCTTTTAAAAAGTTTTTTGTTTTTATTTTTTGTTTCTGTTTTTTCATTTGTTTTAAGACCAGCTTCGTTTGCACTCTCTCTCCTCGGATGTCACAGGTTTCTTTTGTTGTCGTCTTCATCAGCGTCACCTTTCTTCTTCTCTACTCCTCCAGTTCCAGTTCATGTTATAAGCTCACCAACTTGGATGGCTCACTTGTGGGTGTCACCAACTCCAAGGGATGTTTGTTTTGTGACGAACATGTAGGCACCAACGGACCGGAAACCGGAGTCAGACCAGTACCACCATCCATGAGAGAATCAAAATTAAACATTCCCGTCGATGGTGTTTGTATGGCCACACCATTAATGTCCGTGGGCGGTTTATTGTCAGCCATATTCAGTGACAAATTCTGAGCCATATTCCTTGGCACTGTGGGCAAGGAGTTAGGACGTTGCTTGGAATTCGGCTTAATCAAATTAGTCTGCAATACCGAATTATTGGACAATACTGAGCCAAAGCTAATGGGTGCCGTTGTAACAATGGGTGTGTTCAATGTGGACGATGCTGCAGCCAGGGAGGCTGACAATGTGGCGACATTGGGTAGGGGCGGTGGTATCATGGGATTATTGTTGGTCAGCAACATTTTCTTGGGCGAGGGAGGACCATCCAGCGAGGAATTGGAATCGAATGTAGTATCTAATGGTTCAGGTTTAATTTGAGCTAATAATTGATCGTTCAATACTGGTTTCAAGTCCAAGGGTGAATTACTTCGGGCCGTTGACGACAATGTGGTATCCAGGCCGGTGATATTGTCATTGTCCGGTGCCGACGGCATTAAACCACTGAGGCTATTCACTGACAACATATCGGGATTTTTTTGGCATGATGTACGATGGGCTTCCAGTATGAATTCCAATTCTTGTTTGGTGCCATTCAACGACTCGATTTGTTTTTGCAATTCTTCACGTTTCTTCTCCAGCATAGCCACCTCTTCGGTCAGTTCATTGGTCTGGTCGACACGACGTTTGCGACAACGTGCCGCAGCCAATTTGTTACGTTCACGACGTACCCGACGTTTCTCTTCCTCTTCGGGTGTAAGGCTGGCATTTGTGGTAGGACGACGACCACCACCACGGCGACCCGTTGAGGTGGTGGTGGTAGTATTTTTTGTTGTAGTGGCACTTGTTGATGAGGTATTTGAGTTAAGATTGGCGGCTGAGTTGTTTAATTTGGACATTGCCGTGGCCACGGCCAGTGTGGTCAGATTGACAGTGGTAAAGTCATTGGTTGTTGAGGAATTGGAATTGTTGAGATGATGAGACATACCCAGACCATTTTGAAAGGAAATGGTATCGGTGGCGGCACTTGCTGTAATGGGGAAAAAGAATGCGATTAGTATTGGAGGTCTATTTTTTAAGAGATTATAAAAAATATGGAAAAGGAAGAGTATCAGTTGACCGGAAGGGTTGATATGGAACCCTAGGCCTAGGCAAAATGTTTCGGACTTTTTAAACGTCTGTTGATATTGGAAGCTCGCAGTATTAAAGGTAGATTTATAGTGTTTAAATGTATTTATTTGAACCCTAAGTTGTTTGTTATTGAAATCTGAACTTATAGGTCTACTATTTGGTATAGCTCCCCTTATAACACCACCTTCCGATATTAAGAATTTTGAATGTATCAAAGGTGAAAACCTACTCGAATAAAAGGTTTATTATTGGTTATATGTTCCACATAGTGGTCCCGTTGAATTGCAAGATTTTTGAATGTTCCAGCCGAGTTTTCGCAACGAAGTGGTCGGAATTTGACAGTTTTGTGGATTTCAAAGGGTAAAAATAATTTTCGAAGAATATTTTCCTTATTTGAGATAACAGTTCCGCCCGGATTTAGCAATTATGAGGTTCTTAGTCAATCAAAATGAACGAAAATTGCCATTAAGGGTTCTCAGAGCGTCAAAAAGATAATGAAGGTTTTTTTATTTAGATCCCATGTAAGGATTCCGCACGAAAGCGTTTTCATATTGAAGTTTCCATAATTCGGTTTTGAAATAGCTTCTTATATAAGAATGCCTCCTTATAAAACAGATTTCGTAGGTTTTAGTGATTTTTTATATCACCTAAAAGGGTCTTCATAGCAGGCAATTTTTTGTAAAGGGTAAACCTAGAAAGTCTAGCAGAATATTTTTAATATAGGTCCATGTTCTGATTGAGGCTCCATTTAAGGGTTTACATATTTTTGAAGGTCCTAGCAGAGTTTTTAGACGATTTTGGGTTTTCACAGGGTAAAATATGCCATCGTCGACACATAGATGGCTCTGCTACAATTTTTACTAAAAGGTACCTACCAAAGTGGTTATAACTTGTCATTCCATGTTGGAGGAAGGTAAAACTCTTCGCAGACAATTTTTAATAAATGACCAGGCTTTGAAATAACCCCCATATATGGGTTACGCCCCATATATGGGGGTTGTATTTTAGTCGACTTTCTTATATCGAAGTGGCTATACATTGGCATTTTACTTTGTAAAGGGTAAACCAAGAAAGTCTAGCAGAATATTTGTTAAAATATTTGTTAAAAATGTCCTGATTGAGGTTCCTTTTAAGGGTTAAGGTACCACAAGCTACCTATGCTCCCTTAGAGGCTAAGAAGACCCCAGAAGCTAAGATGTCGATTATGAAAGAGTAGAGTTTTTAGGCCGATCCTGGTCTATATTTAGGATTTTGAATTTTCACACGGTAAAATATGATATGCTCCCTCAGAGGCTAAGAAGACGATTATGAAAATTTTTTTATTAGGAGAGCTTCGTTCCGACACCAAAGTATGAACTGATCTCTTTTTAACTTCCACATTCTTTATTAATTTATGTTCTACTTACAATTATCGGTTGTGGCCATCGAATTATCTTCATGCATATTATGATCATTCCATGATTCCTGAGAATTTTCTTCGGTACCCGAATCGTTTGTATTTCCATAATCGTTGAGACTGGCACCGCCGCTAATATCATCCAAATAGATGTTGTTGAGGGCAGCGGTGGTGAGACCGCTAATCGGTGCTGTTACCGATGTTATCGTTGAGGCATTATTTGTGTTTGTTGTATTGTTGGTGTTATTGCTATTCGTTGTTATTGTAGTTGGATTATATGAACCCAATGGTGGTGGTATAAATCCCGCTTGATATGGTGCATTTATTGGCTCACTTGTCAATTGTATAAAGGATTCCTCTATGCTACGCAGTGTTGTTGGCGTTAGGGTGGGTGTGGTCAATGTGGGTACACCTGTTTGCATGCATTCCATTGAGACGAGCTGGAAGGAGAAGAAGAAACAGAAATATATAAATTAGTAATCAACATAGTTTAGAAGATTTCGGTTTTGAAAACATTTTTGTAAAAAAAAAGAAAGAAAACTTTTTTGTTTCGTGGAAAGCTTGTGTGTTTACATTTGTGTGTTTTTTGAGTTCAAAGTCGTGTAAACAATGTATGTTTTTGTTGTTCTGCAACGGAATACGCATTAAACTTGTTTGTATATTTTCGTTGTGAGATCTTGTAGAGTTCCACTTACAGATTTTTTAAGTGTAAACATTTCTTAAAAAAAAATAAATAAAAACAATGAAAAGGGGAACATTTCCCCCCCATACCAATGTGGACTGTGAATAATCGATACACATGTTGTGGTCATGGTAATATTTTTTTTTTCAAAAAATTAATTCAAAATCTAAAATCTTAAATAAATGCATGACCGCAATATATATATTCGTATTGCATATACCATCACGTGTAGGTGTGTCCTATTAAAGTCACCATTATGAAAATTTATAATATCACTAAAATCTTTTTCTATATGTAATATTATATATATTTATAAAATTTGTTTTCATATATACAAAATTTTATAACACTTTGTGTTTGATTGTCTCTCAAAATGCCAGTCGTCACATCATTTTGGGGGAGAATACGAAATTTTCTGGCACATGAAAACCCCAAATGGTCTGGCCGGTCTGCCAGAATAAAAAACCAAAACATAACGTGTGCATGATGATCTACATATTTATATATGTATGTATACATATATAATGAGGATACTCATATTTTACATATTTTTATGATCAGTTGTGGATTTTTTTGAAAATTATTTTAACTAACTAAAACATTGTTTTTTGATTTGAATTATTAGAGGAAGAATATATATTTTTTAGTTATAGAAAAAAAATTAAATTTTGGTGAGTCAGACAGGTGTTTGGTGGGGGCTTTAATGGATGGCGAAGTTGCTGTTTGAGAACCTACAAGACCAAAATTGGTTGGAAAATGCAGCTTGGACTTCGATAATACTAAAAATGGATTTAGACCTTTATCTGCGGGACTCCAAGTGTTTCAGGAATTTATTTTGTATCCTCTGAGAACTAAAGATCAACTTTAGTTGGACAATGCGATAAGGCTAGGACACTTATAATATTATATGAGGGCGTCAAAACAAAGAGCTATACTGAATATTTCCTGCTAGTATATAGTTCTTCTTTTGAGACCCCGCAAGGCCAAATTATTGCTACTCCGATTGGAGAATGTGGCCAAATCCTTCAAAATATCGAAAATAATGTAAAAGCCCTATTTTTGAGGTTGTTTCAAAACATAGACCTTTGCCAAATATTTTCTTCAAATCGGTCGTATATCCTCTGAGAATATATTAGGCCAAAATGCGGTCACTTTTTTCGGCTAAAACCTTCAAAATAAGAAAAATGTGACAGGATCTATTATAGGCCTGGAAAATATTTTGTCTAATAAACTAAATTCAAAATTTTGAATATGGGGGCTATATGAAAACATGAAAATAGAACAATGTCGTTATAATGGTGCCTATGTCAAATAAGGACCGAGATAGATATTTTTGCTTAGATTCCTTATATCTTCCGAGAAACTGTTATGCCAAATTACAAAAACTGCTGTTATAAAATGCACGAAAGTCCTTCAGAATACGCAAAAAATTGACGTGCCTATTGCTGGGTCCTAAAATTTTTGAGAACTCTAAATAAGAGTTACTATGTTTGGTAAAATCTTCAATACATTTAAAATGCAGCAGGGTCTTCATATGGGGGCTACATGAAAACAGGAACATACATTTAAAATGTTCTGTCTGAATGTACTTCTATCGGACTTTCAAAAAACTTCTGCGAGCTATAAGCTCTAAGTGATAAGGAAAAGCTGGTAGGACTCTCAATATGCGAAAAATGGGGCGGAATTGTTATTTGCAACAGGGCCTTTATATGAGGGCTACATGAATACAGGAACCTACAAAATGTTCTGTCTATAGGCACTTCCATCGGACATTCAAAATACTTATTCGATCTCTAATTGGCAAGGAAAGACTGGAAGGACTTTCAATATACGTAAAATTTGGGGACTATGCTACAACTAGTACCCATCTGAAAAATGAGAACCCGCAATTCAAATTACAAACAAATTCTGGTCAAAAATGCGACCAGGTCCTCTTAACCCTTTGTGGCCCAATGTTACCCACAGGCAACAAAATGTTTTAGAGCTAATATTTAATATACTGCTAGTAGATATATGTTCTTTGGATTGCATACGTCAAGGCCTGTTTATGGACGACAAATATCACAAGAAAAATCTAAAAAATTCAAATTTTTGGTAAAGTTATGAGCTTTTTAATATGGAGAAGAGGGCAAAAATATGTACAGTACTAATTTGTGTATACAGTCCAAATTATTTAAATCGCTTATTATTTGAAATATACGAACTCTGCCGTCAGAATTATTTTTGATTCTTGTAAAACAGAATATAGAGAATAACTTAAAATAATTTTTTCGTCGATTTTGCATTTGGGTTTCTTGATATTGGGCTTTTATTTTTCAGAAAGAATGTACTGTATTTCCCGAATGCAAGGATGTAGCGATGTCAAAATTTGTCCATATCCTATCTAGAATAGTTGCATAAAATCTGTGAACAGAAAATTGTTCTATGATTACGGAAAAAAAAATCGGGGCTCAAAGGGTTAATTATTCAAAATGTCGTAACATTTGTTTAGGTGGGTTCTGTATTAATGGCAGTCATAACAGTTATTTCCCGTTGTATTCACGGTTATATTCCATTAAGGTTATATACCTTATATTCGAAATCGACTCCTGATTCTTTGGCTTAAGTATTAATTTGTTGTTAACAAAATATTCACCTAATTTGTTTCTTTTCCTTTTAATTTCAAATCTCCACAAAACATCGGTAATTTTATAATAATTATTAGTCGGTATGCATTTTTGTTGTTGTTAATAATAGTTAATAGCAGTCATAATAGTATACTACACATTTACCACACCTTTCTAGTAATTATAGATTTAAAATTACTGAAACAAATAGTAAAACTAATAATTATAGTTTAAAGCTCCCAGAAATGAAGTGAACTAAAAAATATTTGTTCTCACGTTTAGCAAACTATACCAATGCAAATAGAGGGGGACGACAACAAATAAAAAAGCAAAAAACAATAACAACAAAAATGCTAGTAAATAAACTAATAAATCATAAGCTATTTTTATAATAGTTTCGAATGATTAGCATGATTAGCAATAGGAGAGAAAAAGTGTTTCAAATGTTTTGTTTGCCTTTTTTTGTTCTATTGAGTGGCTACTTAAATTGTCTTAAATCAAAGCAAAGCTGACAACTGACAGATGTTTTGCATGCCGTCGTGTATATCAACAATACTCACTGCTGATATGGAGACAAAACAAAAATATTAGCATAGTTCGATTTGGATATTCATGGGAAAATTCTATAATTCGTAATAATAATTATGTAAATTATTGTTAATTAAATTCATTAGAATGCATTATAAGTAAACTGGGAAGGGAAATTAATTGAATATGGGAGCTATATCTAATTCTGAACCGATTTCAACCAAACTTCCCAGAGGTCTATCTGGACCCAATGCCGCGCAAATTTTTGTTTCGATCAGGCAAACCTTGGGAGTTTGGTGCGCCATTTTGTTATTTTCAAATAATTCAAATCCTGTCCACCCTTTTATAAAATATAACAATTATAATAACGGAATCCAAAAGTCTCGAAAAACCATTATAACCCATATATGACATATCTCTGATCCTTTGACCTTCATTATAAGTTATTATAAACGCTATTTCCTGCATTTTTTTAATTCTATTATTTAATTATTGAAAATATTTATTGAAAATGCGGTTTTTAAAATTGTTTGTTCAGTTTGTTCGTTCATTGTTTTTTCTTTATTTATTAATACATTTATTTCTCATTTCATTCAACACATCAGTTCGATTCAATTTTTTCCGCGAAAATTATCAAAAACACAATCAAAACAATGTTGAAAAGCCACAACAGAACAGCCAGCGAAGAAAAACAAACAACAAAAATGGTTCACACACTACACCGATCGTTGTCGGTCGGACGGGGAAAAGGTTTATTTTTAAAGATGAACTCGTAGTGAAATTTTCCAATTTTTTTCTTTTTTGTTTTGACTTTCCTTCATAGGAAAATTCACAACATTTTGATTGTGTTGATATTGCTTTTGTTGCTGCTGCTGCTATTGGTGGCAAATTTAATTGGCAATGTTGCCATTGATCGTATTTTTACTTAAAAAAAATGAGAAGAAATGAGAGGGAGAGTTGGTTTTAATTTAAATAAAACACTCTTAAATGCTTCTGGGTAATTTATTTGAAGAATTGTAAATATTTTAAAGAAATTGTAGTATGTAGGAAAAGAAATTCAAAATACATCAACAATGTGAGTCCATACTCAATATATGGACTTACATTGGAAATTTTCGGCATAGAAGCTTTTTTCGTTCCGACAAGACGCCTAGGACGAACATACCTAAACTTGGAAGGGACTTCGTATTTAGAGGATATGTCAAAAGTGTTCTCATCCCATCTAAAACCATCAAAATATCGAAAAATGGATCGATATCCTTGTAGGGTGACTATACCAAAACGTGGACACATATTAAAAAATTCTCGCGAAGAAAAATGGATTGGTATCCTTGTAGGGTGACTATACCAAAACGTGAACACATATCAAAAATTTCCTGAGAAGACATTTTCTAACCACAAAAATAAAAAATATAATAAATAAAAAGAAAGAAAAAAAAGAAAACCACTTCGTTTGAAAAATGTACCTAGTGCCATCATATGTCAAAACATGGACCTATATTGATAATATATCTCTCTAGAACTACAAAGAACCCGAAATGACAAATTAAAACCACTTCGGTTGGAAAGCTCGTCTGAAACGCTTAAAATACAGAAAATGAGGTGATAACATTAATTGGACTGACATAAGCTATTTTCCATAACATCCTAGGAGGTGTAGCAATGTAGGTTTAAATTTTCTAAACGGACATGGTTAAATCGACATAGAATTTTATTCGGATCGGGAATATATATGTGAGGGGTCTTTAATTGCATACGAAAAAAGACAAATCTATCATACACTCAACCTTGTGGAGGGTATAAAAATTTTCACATAGAAAATATGCTGTATAACAGTTAATCCTGAAAAAAAAGTGTTTCATTTCATTCCGAATTTTTTTGTATAACACTTTTTGTTACTGTATGACATTTTATAACAAAATTCGCTGCACACTTTTTGTAGATATCCTTATAAAAAATGTGCTGTATAACACTTTTTCTATTTAGAACATTTTCAGTATAACAGCGTTGTATAAAACTTTTTAATATAAATTTTGTGCTGTATAACAGTTTTGGCTTAAAAAAATATTTTTTCAACTCAAAATTTAGCCAGTATAACACTTTTTTATGCTATATACAATGTTTTCATGTAGAAAATTGTGTTGTATAACACTTTTTCTATTCTCAAAATATTTAAAATAACAGTTTTAGTACGGAGAATGTACTGTACAAGATTTTTTTGAATAGAAAATTTGTTTTATAACGCTTTTCCTTTTAGAAAATAGGCTGTATAACACTTTTCCCTATAGAAATATTCTTATACAAAATGTTTGAATTCAAAAATATGCATTATAACACTTTGTCGGCTTCGAACATTTCTGGCATATCAATGAAATTGAAAACAATGTTTTGTATAAGTTTTCAGTAAAATAATGATATTGTAAAACTGTTTTTTACACGCAAAATATATAATGTAACAGCTATCCATAATTATATCTAATATATATAACAGTTTATATAAAAGAGAACGAGTAATACGACGCCTGAAGTAAAACACTTTATCTTATGTCGAACGTTGAGTATGAGAATATTTCTTATAAGGAATAAACCCTTTTTGGTATAACACTTTGTGTGGTAGAAACTGTACTGCAAAACGTTTTTACATGCAGAAAATATGATATATAACTATTTTCGGTACCAAACACTTTTTTTGTATAACACGTTTACCGTAAAGGAAAGTTTCTATATAACAGTTTATTGTAAATCAAATATCCAATATAACACATTTTAATGTGTAAAATATCAAGTATAACACCTTTCTTTGGGTGAAATCACTATTATAACACTTCATTGTGTGGTATAACACTTTTCTGTGTTGACATTTTTGAGTATAACACTTTGTGTTAAAGAAAATTTATAATATAAAATTTTCCTTCCAGCGATTGAAATAATGTAACACAATTTTTCTTACATCGAATGCCGAGTATAACACTTTTTTTTAATAAATATGATACGGCAATTAGGATAAATATAAAACATTCCGAAAAACTTATCAAAATGGAACAAACATTTAATTATATTTTACATTATCTAGTCTGACACTTTGCTGTTTAGAATTTCTTGAATATAACACTTTATGTTATAGAAAATTTCTAATACAAAATGTTTTCTTCCAGCGACAGAGATGATATAACACACTTTTTTACATCGAATGTCGAGTATAAAATTTTTCTAATAAAGTGAAAGATATAACAATTAAGATTAATATAACACTTTCCGAAAAAGTTGATCCAAATGAAACAAAAATCCATTTATATTGCAAATAATCTAGTATAACACTTTTCTCCTTAGACATTTTAAGAGTATAATACATTATAATATAGAAAATTTCTAATAAAGGTTCCTTAATATCCAATAAATAATATAAAAAAACTTTTTTGCGTCGAATGCCGAGTATAAAACCTTTTTTTTCCTAATGAATGCATTATATAGTATTTAGCCTTAATACTCGTATAACACTTTCCAAAAATAATGATCAAAATGAGACTAAAATCTAATTATATTTCAAATCAAAATTCATTACCTGTTGCATAAATAGCTCATTAGCGAGGAAATTGGCAATTTCACAGGCATCCATTGCAAGACGATCACAATTATTGTTGTTACTATTATTATTGTTGTTGGTGTTGTTGTTATTATCATTATTAGTGTTATTATTATTGGAATTGTTATTATTCGTTTGATTTATTATATTATTATTTGATTGATGTGCGGCAGGAGTGGCCATGCCACCACCATCATTAGTTGCAGCAACCTTTGCCGAATTCTTGTTACCACCACCATTGTTTGAAGACGAAGAAGTTGGAGTAATTGAAACGGTATTGGATGAGGAGGAGATTTTCGAAACCGTTGGTATTTGATTGTTGTTATTATTATTTAGTTGCAACTGTTGGTGTTGCTGCTGCTGTTGATGATGTTTCAATTGTTGTTGTAACAATTGAAATTGTTGCAATTGTTGTTGGTGGTGTTGAGATTGTTGCTGCAACTGCTGCTGCTGTTGTTGTTGGTGTTGCTGCTGCATAGTGTTGTAGTAATTTTGAGCACTGGCATTAAAGAAATTCTCTCTTTGATTGTAAAATGTTTGCGGTGGAAATGGAAATCCCACACCATGGCCAGCAGCAACACTTGTTGCTGTAGCCGATGGCGGCAATGATGACGATGGTGGTGGTGCAGACAAGGGACCGGTTATGACATTGCCAGCGGCTGCTGACGTTTTGTTTGTGTAGGCGGAACCGGAAATTGGTGTGGCCAAAGAAGCCATACTATTGAGGTTAAGAGAGTTTGGTCGTTGGGGACGAGAGAGAGCATTGCTATTGTTGTGGTGTTGTGACTTTGGTGTTGTTGTTGTTGCTTGATTATTGAAATGATGTGGGATATTGTTGTTGTTGGTATTGCAGAGTGCATTGAAAGGGAAATTATAGTTGTAGGCATTGTTGTTGTTATTGTGATTTACACTCAACATGTTGGATTGTTGTTGTGAAGCTTGTTGTTGTTGATTATAACTTTGTTGTAGCCTTAACAAATGTTGCTCTTGTTGCTGCAGCTGTTGTTGTTGTTGTAAATGATGTTGATTAGCTAAATAACCGCCAAGCGTAGGTGGTGTTAGGCTGTGATGATTTGAAATCGATTGTGGTGATGCTGATGATGACGTTGTTGGTGTTGTTGCTGAGGCTGTGGGAGTTGTCGTTGGAGAGCTATACGAATTGTTGTTATATCTTGCAGATTGATTTGTTGTATAAGAATGGTAATTGGGTATTTGGGGGAGATTGTGATGTGGTTGTTGTTGTTGTGGGTATTGATTATGATGATTTGGTTGCTGCTGTTGTTGTTGATTATTATTGTTTGGCCTATTGTAGGGATGGTACGCTTGGTACGGTTTTACATTTAAGTTTTTCATATAGCTTAATTAATAAATAACAAGTTTTTAAGAGAAAATAAATATTTCTTATTTACTAAAAATAACTAAACTATATAACAGTATATAAATTTCTATATATATAAAAATAAATATGGGGCGGATTATAATATCAAAATTGGCTTGACTAGGTTTAGGTGTTTATATATATTTTTTTTAAAGCAAACAAACATTTAAATTTGAACGTCTTTTGGTTGTTTTTAATAAATTAGATATGTCTTAAGTTTTGGTATAGCGTTTTTTTCTTCTAATAAATAATTTTATATATTTACATAGGCTTTTCTTAGAAAAGATTTTTTTAAATAATTAATTAAAATTCCTCTTATTTTTTGCTAGGCAAATGGCACAATTGTGTTGGAGCAAAGTAAGAAAGAAAAAAATTATTTAACAAAAAAATTATTATTTATCGTTTCGATGTTTGGTCGTTGTAATCGTTGTGTGTTCGTTTTTTGTTATATTGGCTGTTCGTTAGGTTATGTTCATTTGTAAAAGTTCGTATTTTGTTGTTCGTTTACTGATTTCGTTATTCAGTTATTTGTAGTTGTTTTAAAAAACAGTCTTCAGGTGGTTTTACATTTTTATTATGATTGGTGAACACTTTTGAAAATTGTTGTTGTTGTTGTTTCCCTTCTCCCACGTCACTGGGAAACTTTTGGATATTTGTTTGTGATATCCAAGTGATCATAATATTATTTTCAAAAATTACAACGAAATATATATAGAAAAGAAATTTGTATAACAGTTTGCTGTATTTAAAGTCTTTGTAACAACTTTTGTTGCTTATTTGTAATATTTAAATAATATTTTAAATACTAACGAATATGCAATTAAATACATTTAAAATGAGACAAATAAGAACAATAAATCTTTTTTTTTTTAGAAAAAATAAATAAATATTTTTATAAAATAAAATTATAATTTTAAATATATTTAAGTATTTTATTTGTAGATATGGAATTTAAAAAAAAAATATATATATTATATTTTTAATATAATATTAATTTAAAATATTAAATATATATTTTAAAATTATTTTTGAATCCTTATAATAAATTTCAAAAGAATTTAAAATATCTTTAAAAAAAATTATTTTTAATTAGCAAAAATATATATAGTTTTCTTCAAAAAATATTAATTATAATATTTTTAGTTTTTGAAGATATGGTTTTAATATATTTTTTAAATTTTTTAAAAAGTTACAAATTTAGCTTATTTAGAAAATATTTTTCAAATTTTTTTAGACTTCTTAAAATTAAACAATAAATATATTTTATAAATATAGAAATTTTTCAATAAAAACTATTTTTTGTAATAATTTAATTTTTTATATATAAAACGGATTTTTGTATTATTTATCTTTAAAATATATTTTTTGTTTTTAAAAAACAAATGTTTTACTTTCAAAAAATATATTCTTATTTATATATATATATATTTATATGAAATATATATATATTTTTTAAACAATTTGTAAAAAATTTTTCATAGAAAATTAAAAATAAATATATTTTAATAATAATAATTTTAAATTTTGTTTATATATAAAACTGATTTTTTTTTTACAATTTATCTTAAAAATATATTTTTTGACTTTTAAACAGCAAATGTTTAATTTTTAAAAAATATATTCTTATTTATGAATATATAAATATTTTTGTATATAAACTTTTTTATTTAAAATCAATAAAATTTAGAAAAAATTTGCAATATTTTATGCCGGTAAATATATGTTATTGATTGATAAATATTTTTATAATCGCAATTTTTTCAAATAATATATTTTTTAATTTTTGGAATTAATATTATAAGTTCTAAAATTTATTTGTATTTTTTATAAAAATTTATATTATTATTATTAAAATATGCAAAATTTTTATTTTTTTTAATTTTAGAAAAATGTTTGTTTTAAAATCACAATTTTTTATAAAAATAATATTTTATGAATTGTTTAATTTTTATTTAAAAATATTTGTATTTTTTATAAAAATATATATTTTACTGATGTTTAATAAAATATTTTTTATATAATATTTAATGTTATATTTTAACAAATCTTCTTTATAAATTTTTTTTTTATGTTTTTATACTCTTTATTTTTATTTAAGTATTTTTCCAAAAATTAGAATTTTTATTTTTATAAAAATATATTTTGACAATTTTTAATGCTTTATTTTTAATATATATTTATGTTTATTGAATTTTTTATATCTTTGTTTTTTATGATATGATTTTTTTATTTTATATATTTTTTTAAATATTTTTTTTATAATATTTATTGTTGTATTTTAAAAAATATATAAATTTAATTTTTTTTATATCTTCATTTGTTTATGATATGAATGGTTTTAATTTAATTTTATATAAATTTATTTTTTTTATAAAAATATATTTTTATTCGTATTATATTCGCACAAGTTGTTTTTTTCTTATAGAAAATATATTTTTTCAGAAAACTTTTTTTTTAATTTCTTTGTATACGTATTCGTTAATTTATTTGTTTTATAAATTAATTTATTTGTACTTCATAAACCAATATTGCTTTGGTACACACAATTTTCTTTTTATAACACTTTTTTACTACAAATAAATAATAAATATATTTTTTTTTATCAATTTTTAATTAACAACAATTGATTTTATTTTTATTACTTTTGTTACAATAAAATTATCACGTGTATATAAGTTTTTCTTATTTTTTCGAAAGAATTCTCTTTTGTTTTAAACACACTCTTTGACTTTCTCTCTCTAAGAGATTTTTTCTTTTACTTTGCTCTCTATGTGCTCTATCTAAAATATTTTGTTTTTTTTTTCGTTTAAATTACTAATTATTTTTTTTAATTTTTATATCGTAGATTTTTTTTCATAAAATTCCTCTTTTTATAAGAGTATTTTCAGCCAAATCCATAGAAGAGTAAAATCCCTGCATTGATCTCGCATTGAACAACAAATCAGGCAATGCTCTCTGCTCTCGCTCTCGTTAAAATCGATGGTTAAAGACGAAACGATATTCTCTATTCTCTCTTATATCTTCCTTGTTGTAATTCTCGCTCTCTTGGTTTTTTGTTAAATGGCAGGTCGTCGCTTCGTTCGTTGAATTTCGTAATTATGATTAATAAGGTTACGTTTTATTTTTGGGGATTTTTTTGGCTTTATTTTTTTTCTCAAAAATCCACAAATCGTTGTTTTGTTTTGAAGAAATTATGGACAAAAAATTATTCGTGCAATTTTTATTTTATTCTTTTTTAACAAAAACACCGCTTGTAATAGATTTTTTTAATTCTCATGAGGCTTTTCCAAATATATTTTTTTTTAATTCGTTTTATTTTTTGGTTTTTTCAAAATTCTATTTCTTTTTTTCTTGAAATAATTTATTTCAAATTCGTTTGGATCGCGCGCTCGAAAAAATAAAGACGCCCCGTTATTACCGCAGTGTTTCGTTACTCGTTTATGACTAAATTCATTTCAGCGGTTTTTGCTACTCTTTCGATACGAAAAAGATTTTCTTTTAGTTTTTTTGTGTTTCGATTTGGTTTTGTGCAAAAAACACCAACAACAACAACAATGACAATAAGAAAGACAACAACATCAGCAGCAGACGGCGGCAACAGCAGCATGACACTCAATTTAGAATTGAAAATTCAAAATATCACAGGCACACACACATACTGACACATATACAGATAGCCATCAAGTAGAATAGGATGCTAGCGCTAGATCGCTCATTAGATTTTTTTGTGGCAAGCAGCATATCGACAAATCTATATGTACATATGTGTTTATGGCTGCGAGTAGACAAATGCTCGGCTGCCTGGCTACTCTAGAGAGATATACTATAGATAAATTCTATTAGATATGGACATGGTGGACTATGTGACGGATGATTAGAACTATAACATTCTATAAAGGGGAAAATGCGAAAATCTGTACAGTATGAGGTGGATATTTGCAACATTTTTATAATGAGCTTTTAATTATGTGTACGTAAATTCTTTACTATTTTTGGACTATTCGGAATATTTACAGCCTGTTTTTGTAAAATTCTAAACGAACGAATTCGAGTGACTTACGACCAAACTCCTTGGTTTTGAAAAATATGTCACTTATTTTTGTTTTGAATCAAAAAATATTTGTTTACATAAACAAAGGTTTGGTCGTAAGTCACTCGAATTCGTTCGTTTAGAATTTTACAAAAACAGGCTGTTAGATTTAAAAATTTTCGTTTTTGTTTTCTATTAGAAGAAAAACTATGGATCTTCAATGAAAGGCAGGAAGGTCAAAAAGTCTTCAATGATTTTAAGGCTTGTTTGTATTATATGATAATATGGAAAAAGTGACGAGTAACAGACCATCAGATGATGAACTTTAGGGTTTCAATTAGAGCGGGTTCTCTATAAGAAGGCAAAAACGAAGGGGAAAATACTTTCAGAAGATGGTCTTCTGGAAAATTCTTCTACATATCAGAGAAAATTCTGCAAGTCTTATACAGTAAAGTACGGTTATATTAAGTTCCAAAATGTGAAATTTTTGTGTCCTCTTGGCAATAATTAAGCTGCTTCTCCTTTCGTTTGATAAACCTGAGATTTTGTGTAGCGGGCTTGTCATCGTTAAGTATTTTGTTAATTTAAAGCAAGTTCGTTAAAACCGAATCAAAGTAAATGAAAACCGAAAGGTGGAACCGAATAAATAGTTCGTTATAAGATATGTCTCAAAACTTCGGGACCAGGAAATGTGTTCGCTATAAAGAAAGTTCGTTATAAGCGTACTCGACTGTATAAGAAAAATATCCTTTGATTTTTTATAGAAAGGTTATTCTGTTCTCTATGAGAAGGATACCCAAGACATGTATGTCAAGAAAAAAAATTTCTGGAGGAGGATTTTCTCATCTTTTTATGTCCTGCGAGAAAATTTTGTCTTTAAGGAAAGCGCTCCAGGTCCTTTCTCTGAAGAAAGATTTCTATCCTAAGAAAAATGACTCAGCCCTT